ATGTACGGATGACACACCTTCATTCCTTGTGATATAATGATTCGGATAGAGGTGGACAATAATTACTGAATTCAATGAAGTACATTCTCCATTATGAAATTCACATGTGAAGAGGAATCCCAAAACAGAACGAATTGCCTTCCTGGATTCCCCGTCCCCCTTACAAGAAAACCAGATGGTAGCATAAAAACAGAAATTTGCATAGAAAAAGTACTTGGATAACAGGACAATATACACACATTTTCACAGCTTCGTTCCTCTCTCAAGTACAATAGAAATTTAGTGAACACCCTCACTCGGCCACAGAGTTAGTTGGCACTATATGCTCAGAAGAAGTAATTGAAGATGAATAGACTATTATATATTTTTTGGTAAGCATAAATACGACTGCACAGCCAAGCCAGCCAGCCATCCTCTGATGAGGTGATTTCGTCGATAAAGCAAATTTTCTTCGCTGGCTGAATTTGTCTCTCTTTTATTTACCTACTTACCTAATGTAACTGTAAATAACTAATATGAGACGCCTCTATGCACAGGCTGGTAACACAGAGTGAAGTTGTTTCAGCTTCCTGAGTGGTTGTTGTTTAGACTAAGCAAGTAGGCAAGCAAGTGAGCATGATGCAAAATGCGCTCCATAAACTGTACAGAGTTCTATGTGTAGTGGCATATTTCTAATTCTGATTCGGTTATCTCAGAGCACCTTCAAATGAAGGAATGAATGAACGTGATAACAGATTGACTATCACAGTTTGATTGACACCTGGATATCGGTGGCATAGAGTTTGAATGCTCAGATGTGATAGAGAAGATTTGTAGCTCAGGTGGATGATTTTGATATGGTTGTGATCTCTGAGCTGGATGGTTAATTTGCGAAGCTTTCATCGCCCTACCAGGCAGGCGACATCTTCCTTCAGCGCATACTACAATTTGAAGTGAGCTTTCAGATTTCTCCACGAGTGAGTTTATTAATCATCTCTCCTGGTGACCTTGGACTTGATTGGTTGTTTTTGTGTGTTTTCACACCTTCTAGGTTATTGGTATTGTGATTCATTGTTTCTTTGACTTGAACTTTCACCCTTTGTGTGTGAGGTTTCTTTCTTATCGGTTGATAAATTTTGTCTATCTTGATGTGTCTATTGATTGATGATTCACTGGAATACCAGGTAGGCTTCTAAAAATTCTCTAGCATTCTCGGTGTTGTTTCCTCTGTCTAATATTTGAACGTTGGTTGTCCCAGTCGAATTGATGTCCATGGTTGTCTGTGTGTAGTGATATGAGGGAGTGGATATCATGTCTTTTGACAGCTAGCTTATGATCGTGGATACGAAGACGAAGGGGACGTCCACTTTGGCCAATTCAGTTAGTGTTTTTCGCAGTTGATACAATCTATTTTGTAGATGATGTTGGTTTTATCTTCCTTCGCTGTTGAGTCTTTTGGTTGACATAGAGCCAGCTGAGTGAAGTGATTTTGTTGGTTTGTGTACGACGTCAATTCCTAAAGGTTTGAAGAGTCTTGTAGTGATTTCTGAGATGTCCTTTATATATATGGTAAGGCGATTTTCTTTGTGCTTTCCTTGGGGGCTTTTGATTTGACAGGTTGGCTTGGGGGTATATGTCTTTTGATGAAATTCCGTGGATATCCATCCATTCTTTTGGAAGACGTCCATGAGATATTTTTCTTCAATTTTCCTTAAGGTGGGAGTACTTGAATGCTTGAAGTTTGAATGCTCGCCAACAACAACAACAACGCATTTGCTTTTTAGGGTTCGATCTCCCGCGGCCGACTCACGGCTTTACCTCGTTAAGCCGGTAACAAGCAAGACTGGTAAAGAGTAAAGGGCAAAGTTCAACAATAGGCTTCCCAAGGGATGCGAACGCACACGAGTGAGTGACCTTCAGCTGACCAATCATAAAAATGGGGAATGTTTGCTCAGTAAAAAATGATGGATGTATGTATATTGACAAGAAAATGCTTGAAAACGCATTAAAAACCAGGTTATCTTTCTCTCTGACACATGGCTTAAAAATAGGGCGTCCTAGTTGTAAGAGGGGGAGTATCAGTTGCTAAGTTAGACTAGTTTCTGTACATGGTAACGATACTACAGATAAACTGTTTTTGTGAATGGTTTATCTCCCTCTCTCTGTCATCCTGCTTGCAGTCTTCCAAAAAAGGGTCCTCGGTTGAACTGTTATGCTTTCCAGCAAGAGGATAGACGACTACTTACCAGGAAAACGTGGATAATAAAACAAATTACAATAAATAAATGACATCAACTATAAATCTATCCCTAATCGTAACCATAAGCTGAATCCTGACCCTAACACTAACCCTAACCTTAATCCTAACCCTAATCATAACCCTTATCTAAACAGTAATTCTAACCCTAATGCTAATTATAACCCTGATCCTAACCCTAACGAGCTATTAACTAACACATTGTCGAAACAGTACTTAAAATCGTGATCTGGGTGAAATTTGCTCCACTTGAAAGTTGGTGAATAGCGTTGATATGTATCAGCTGCTATGATAATGACAGGTGCCAGCCATCACGTCAGCCAACGACTAGCATGCGCTCAAGGTCATTGGAGAGACAGTTCACACTCCTGGGAACGGACGCTATTGTTGAACTTCGCCGAGTAAAGGCATGTTGGGCATGAGGCTGGCAACCACATCATCATCCCGTGAAAAATAAACACCAGTGCAATTGAAGCTACAAAGCTACAAAGCATGTAGCCCCCGTATGTTCCACTGGGAACGCAAATGGAATAAAATAAAGTAAAAGTAATAATGATAGTGAGTTAGTCAACCTGCCTGAGACAGCCCTAGATTTGATGATATTAGATAGTAGTTGGAGGCAATCGGCCGCGGCAGAGGAAGGAAGCCTTTCCTAGACCTAGGTTTCCTGCTGCTAGTTGGCACTCACCGGTCAGTCAGTCAGTCAGTCAGTAAGTCAGCAAGGCGTATCTGCAACCTATCTAATATCATCAAAACAATGTGTCCACCGTGATGGTGAGGTACCTAGAATTGCAAACCTGACTGACTGGTAGAATTCAGTCTGCACCAAAGACAGGAGGACTAGCCAGCCAGACACGTTACACTAATTACTGACTGACTAGTGTCCAATCAAAATACCCACTACAGCACAGTCCTACAGGAAGGAGGTCAATCGCGAGCCAGCCCGAATAGCTGCTCAGTGGTAACGTCTCTGACTGCAGTAGTCACTGGGTGACGTGGGTTCGAATAATATTAATAGCTTTATTCCAAACAGTGTTTGTGGTACAGGTATGGAATTTTCAGCCAGCGTGCATTACAATATTGCATCTAATTACCTCAATTAAATTTTATAAGATTTTAAAAATAAAAAGCAACAACAACAAAAAGAAAAAAGGATAAATAAAAGAGAACAGCATTGCATTCACATATTTAAACAATGCACCACAGGAATATGAAATATAAAATTAGTGTGTAATAGAATATGTGAGCAACAATATAACAGTAACAAAGAAAGGAGAACAAAAGCTAATGGGAACTATTTGTTTGTTAGAGTGCCGCAGTAAGTTGATCGTGTCATACCTAACGGATTTCTCATCACATAACAGCTGTGCCAGATAAGGTATTGTGGAGTTTTTGTACTTGGTAGTCCTAGCATATAGCCTCCTATAGTTGCTTCTAGTTCTACCAGATGAAATGCAAGGAGAGAGCTGCGTATAGAGAGGATGCTCAGGGTCTGACAATATAGTATTCGCTAGTTTCTTACATGACATTATATGTCTATCCACAATGGTGTTAACCAGTTGGTTTAACGAAATCCCACTTGCCCTACTAACAGCTTTTAGTGCCCTACGCAGCGAAGCAAAATCTTTCTTAAGTAGTCCAGGAAAGATTAATGGGGAGCAGTAAAGAGGGATGGGTAGCAAACACAAGAATTGACAAACTGAGAAAGCAAAGACTGCTTTATACCAGACTGCCTTAACTTCCTAACGTAGAACGTTAAGCGAAACATCTTTCTAGTAACTAGCAAGATGTGAGAGGACCAGGAAAGATCGGAGGAAATACTCAGTCCAAGGTACTTGACATTAGATGTAATTTCAACCTCTATGCCGTCAATGATAGTGGGACCATGTGAGCTAGCTAGTTGTTGTAGGTCACGTTTTCGTCTGAAAGTGAAATTGACTACCTGACATTTAGACGGATTCAGCTTAAGACCGTTTGAAGAGGACCACTGACTAATTTCCGACAGAAAGTTATTTAATTTGGAACAATCTGACTGAGAGTTGACAGGCATGGAGACAGAGAGGTCATCAGCATACTTGACAAAAGTGGCTACATCAGAATGGAGCAAGTCATGTAAGAAAAAAGAAAACAGAAAAAGAGAAAGAACAGCACCTTGAGGGACACCAGCTAAAGTAAGAATAATCTCAGATGGATGGAACATGAGCTGATCCTTCAATGTGGTAGCTGACTGACTGACTGACTGACCGGTGAGTGCCAACTAGCAGCACAAAACCTAGGTCTAGGCAAGGCTTCCTCTGCCGTGGCCGATTGCCTCCAACTATCTAATATCATCATCAAATCAATGTGTGCACCATGTGATGGTGAGCTAGCCACCTAGTAGTGGCATGGTGGCCACATTACAAACTTGACTGACTGACTGACTGACTGATAGAATTCAGTCTGCACCAAAGACAGGAGGACTAGCCAGCCAGACACACCAGTCACACTAGTTACTGACTGACTGACTAGTGTCCAATCTAAATACAGCCCTAGATTAGCAGGCTGACTTTGTCGGGATTTGTGACCGCTGAAGATTCAAAGTGGAAACATGGATCTCTGGATTTTGTAATAAACAAAGTTTACACTGTTATATCACTAATAATAATAATAATAACAATTTTTGTATTTGTATTTACAAACTGTCGATTGCCATACACACAAAAACGACGCTAACGAGGCTAACCAACCCAACCCAACCCAACCCAACACACACACACACACTCACCTACCTAACTCCAATCTGCTTCAACACTGCACACAAGTCTGCAATACATCCAGGCTGGTCGGCTACAACAACGATGAAACGACACAGACGACCTTCAAGTGCCAAGCCCCGGTCAATGACACGACCCAACATTGAAGTGTCAATATTACCACCGCTGAGAAGGCAGACAACTCTGGAAAAGAGAAGAGGAATAAAAAACAAAGAGGGAGAGAGAGAGAGAAGAGGAGAGGAGATATCGGCTCATTTATTGACTCAAAGAATCAATAATTCAACATTTTCCAATCTCTACATCAATAATCAAGTAGAAAAGAAAAAAAATAATAAAATTGGATGGATGGAGGATTTCATTTATTGATCATGACCAGCTGACTGACTGACATCAGCTGGGTAGAGAACCACCGGAAGGAAAACCAACCTGCCTACCACAGGGAAGAGTACTGGACACAGCCAGCTAGCTGTTTCCCTCCCTCGTCAGCCTAGTTTGGGACCGGCTATTCAGCAGCAGTACGCACCAACCCCCCACTGTCAGTGTTCGGACCCAGGACCACGTTCTGGTTTCAAGGCCAGCGAGCTAGCGACGTCGTAGACCATTGAGGAGCATCCACTGGGACCCGACCTGATCCAATGGCCAGCCAGCCAGCCAGTGCATGAATTCTAACTTCTCCCAATTCATGCACGACATAGCGCGACCATTTCGCAATGTCATCTTCTTCTATGAGTGAGTGAGTTACTGCCTCATCTTCAACCTGCTTACTGCTGTACCCTACTGATGAAATCCTTCATCCAATCGGAAAAAATCTTTAACAAAATCAATACTTGAAAATCAATACATTATTTGGAATATTCTACCTTCCTACATGGTGATAAGGAAAAAAGGGTGCATTTCTACTTCGTGGATTTCTTCTCTGTCCTTCAAGTGTTGGTTTGTACGGGGGGGGATTTGATTGATTGGTTACAGGATTTCATCATGACCAGCTGACATTGATTGGTTAGAGAACCATTGGAAAACCGACCAGGGAGTACTGCCAGACAGCTGTTTCACACGTCCGACTAGTTTGGGACCGGCTATTCAGCAGGGGTTCGAACCCAGGACCACATTCTGATTACAAGGCCAGCGAGCTAGCTCGTAGACCATTAAGCCAAGCCACTAGGACCCGATCCAATTGGCAGCCAGCCAGTGCATGAATTCTAACTTCTGCCAATTCACGCACGACATAGCGCGAGTATTTGTCCTCACACTAGACCTGCTGCGCCCTACTGGTCACGAATTTCCACTAGAACCCACCCAGGAAACTACCTACCTGAATAGGGCAAGTTTCCAGTGAGCGGCATCTCATCGATATTCAAATGTTGGTTTGTAGGGGGGATTTGATTGATTGGTTACAGTACTCCTAGTGGCTGGTTTTCCAATGGTTCTCTAACGCTGATGTCAGCTGGTCATGATGAAATTCTTCTCTGTCTGTCTGTCTGTCCGTCTGTCTGTCTATCTCTCTATCTCTCTTTGCAATAAATACGTTTCAATTCCCTTCAAAATGATGATGAAAATAAAGACGTTGGATAGGCTATGTCATGAATGTATAATCACACAGTGTAAGTTAGCCGTGTCGATGAAGCCATTCAAACTGGGATAAAACACTGTAATATGATGTGCGACCGACAAAAATTATTGATTGTGTATTGCATGGAATGGCAATCAAACCTCTACCTCAACTTCCTTCATAGACTTTTAGAAGGCCTTCGACAGGCAGCCTTGACCGCGAAGTAATTGGGAAACTAATCAAGTACTACTACGGCGTACCCCAAATATTCATCAACCTTATTCAACAGCTGTACGACAACGGCACATGTCAAGTGATCCACAACGGAACGCTCAGAGAGGCGTTTGGAGTAAATACAGGAGTCAGACAAGGGTGCTTATAATCACCAATGATATTCCTAATTGTGGTGGACTGGATTATGCTTCGTCAGACAGTGAGAAACGAGAAGACAGGGATATCCTGTACTGACGTGAAGAACCTAGAAGACCTGGATTTCGCGCGTAGATGATTTATGTTTGATGTCCCACAAAATCGAAGACTTACTTACAAGCGAAAATCGACAAACTGGTCGAAGAAGCAGCCAGAGAAGACAGGACTCCAGGTGAACATACACAAGACGGAGGTTATGAAAATAACCAACCAACCAACAACAACAGCAGCAGCAACATCCAGCGCCAATCACCATCAACGGGAGGGATTTGAAAGAGGTTACTTCATTCACTTATCTAGCTAGGGAGCATTGTCTCAACTACAGGAGGAACGGACGAAGATGTCAAATCGAGAATCGGGAAGGCGAGAAACACATTCATCAACCTGAAACCAATCTGTAAATCTTCGTCACTAAGCAACACTCAACAACAAAATTCGGATTTTCAATACAAACGTCAAGTCAGTCAGTTCTTCTATACGGATCAGAAACTTGGCGGGTCACAAAGAATATTTCCAACAGCCTGTTGCAGACCTTTATCAACAACAATTGTCTTCACTGGCTCTATACTGAAGACCAGATGGCCGTAAAGAATCACCAAAAAAAAACTACGAGAACAAGCAAACGACACGATTTCCTATTGGCGATATGTCACAGCTGACACGTTTGTAGTGTGCAACAATGAAAGTCATGCTTCACACTTACTCAGATTATTCAATGATGCACACACATGCAATATTGAGTTTACTATGGAACATGAAAGTTCCACGGGAAGTTCCACTTCCTCGACATTGTCATGCAACGCCTAGAAGACGGTCGTTAGTCTTCAGAAGTCAATTTATCGAAAGCCTACTTGGAAAGGACAATACTTACATTTTAATAGCTTTTGTCCAAATAGCTTTAAACGCGGACTGGTAGTCAAGACTCTGTATTATAGAGAGAGGAGAAAATGCTCTATAGAGAAATTAGAGGAAGAATTTGAGTTTGTTGAAAAGATGTTGAAGAGCAATGGGTACGTACTCTCAAAGATTCATCAACAAGAATGGAAGATCTGAAGTCACAAATGTAAAACAAATCACACAGTGGAGAAAAAGCCAATCTACATTCAACTTGATTATAAAGGTGAAAACATTGCAGCAATGGTCAAGAGAAGACTGAGTACAGTTCAGTAGCCACAGCCTGCCATCCTGCAGCTTAGCTGGTTCCCGCTCCGTCGAACAACTTGCTCTTCTCTGGTGCAATCAAAAATCGATAGATATCCATCCTTCTCATGTCAACAACTCCAACTGTTTATACAAATTTACATGTATCTGTGGGAGCAGGAACAGTGAAAAGACAGAAGGGAGAAGAAGGGCATATCTACGATTTTCTGAACATGTACCAAAAAGATGTTAATGTCTACAGCTGGGAACAAATGCTTTACTAAACAGTGCCGCCATCCATCGCCAGACATCTCCTTGACACGCGTCGGTCGGTCACGAGGTGGACGTCGAAAAGTCGTTCAAAATTATCAATAGCCAAAAAAGAGCTCCATTCTCCTCAAGTTTGCTGAAGCCATTTCCATTTCCAAGAGCCTGAAACCTGATTTGTGCGTTTAGAAAGACGTGGTTATCAGTCTTTCTTTGCCCTGCTATCTGGTAACTGGATATTTTCATCTCTCTTCCATCTGAATGCGTAATACTGAAAAGTTTTCATTGTGAATGATTATTATTGTTCGGAATAGTGTTCAATATTACCTATATACATGTACATATTATAACTGTATGCATATATTGATCGATTGTTTGATTTTTGTTTAAAATGAACTCTGTGCAAGTATGTCAAAATTGTTTTTGTAGATATATTTAATAATATCTTTGGCCTGTCCCGACCGATAGCTGCTACCTTGACTTGGTGGTCGAGCTTGCATATCGCATTGACCCAACGAGCTACACTAGCTGGAACTTATGTTCCTGTGGGTGCTAGCATGCCAGAAAGGTTGTTTGGATAGCGGTTAGACAAAAAAAACCCGACGAAATCAGAAGTCCTGAAGGCAATCAAGATTCTAAAAGCTAGAAAAGCAGCAGAACCAGATGGAATCCCAGCAGAAGCATTGAAAATTGACCCAGAGACAACGGCGGACTTGATGACGCCACTACTGTAGAAGGTGTGGAAAGAAGGCAAAGTACCCGAGGATTGGAAAAAAGGATACTTATTCGAACTATCAAAGAAAGGAGACCTAAGTCAATGCAAGAACTGGCGCGGAATTATGCTCCTGTCCATCCCAAGCAAAATACTAAGCCGCATCATCCTGTAGAGAACCAAACATGCCAACCTGGATGAAAAACGTCGATTGAAACAGGCTGGATTCAGGAGAAACAAGTCATGAATTGATCAGATCACCACATTACGGATCATCATTGAACAGAATTTAGAATGACAGTCACCTCTCTATCTCACTCAACTACATCGACTTTGAAAAGGCCTTCGATAGCGCAGCGTCGATCGAGAGGTGATTGGGAAACTACTTCGCTACTACCAAGGGGTCCCGCTGACAATTATACATCTCATCCAACAGCTGTACGACAATGCTGCATGCCAAGCAATCCATAACAGGGAACTTATGGAATCCTTCAAAGTGAGGACAGGAGAAAGACAAGCTGGTTGGCTGCTTACTATCACCAATGATTTTCCTGATTGCAGTAGATTGGATAATGCGACAAACAGCGGGCAATGAGGAAACATGCATAAAATGGACTCACACAAAAACGAATTGGAGAATCTGGACTTCACCGATGATATATGTCTGATTTCCCACAAACTGGAAGATATGTAAGTGAAAAGCAACAAGTTGGGAGAAGAAGCATCAAAGATAGGAGGGACTTCAGGTGAACATAGAGAAAACCGAATGTTTTGAAGATTCCTCGGCAAGCACAACAACAACAGACAACGATCAGCATAAATGGGAGGAATCTGAAAGAAAAAATCTCCCCCACCCACCTACCTGGCAAGCATCGTTTCAACTATAGGCGGACGGAACTGATGAGGATATAAAAGCAGCAAGGATCAGGAAAGCAAGAGAAGTTTTCATTACTCTCAAGTGTGTGTGGCGGTCAACAGACAGCAATCAGCATGAAAACGAAAATGTGATCCGAATTTTCAACTCCAATGTGAAGTCAGTCAGTGCTACTCAATTCACCGATCAGAGACTTGGCCAGCGCATCATAA